CGAGGAGGAAGAGGAGGAGGAGGAGGAGGAGGAGGAGGAGGAGGAGGAGGAGGAGAACGAATAATAATACTACGAGTCTGGGTAAGAATATGAAGACTGCTAAGAACAATAATAGTACTAACAACACTACTAATACTACTAAGAAGACTAATACGAATAAGAATACTAATAATAATACGAATAAGAATACTCATATTAAAAAGAAAAAGAGGAATACGAACACTATTACTAAGAATAAGAAGGATTCTGAAACTACGAACACGAATAAGAATACGAGGAGGAGGGAGGAGGAGGAGGAGGACGAGGAGGAGGAGGAGGACGAGGACGAGGAGGAGGACGAGGACGAGGGCGAGGACGAGGACGAGGAGGAGGAGGAGGATGAGGAGGAGGAGGAGGAGGAGGAGGAGGAGGAGGAGGAGGAGGAGGAGGAGGAGGTGGAGGAGGATGTGGAGGTGGAGGTGGAGGTGGACGTGGAAGTGGAGGAGGCGGTGGACGAGGAGGAGGAGGAGGAGGAGGAGGAGGAGGAGGAGGAGGAGGCGGCGGAGGAGGAGGAGGAGGAGGAACAACAAGGTGGAGGAGGACGAGGAGTAAGAGGAGGAGGAGGAGGAGGAGGAGGACAAGGAGGGACAGGCCGCCACATTTTCGGTTATGTTCGGTCCTAGACGGCCCAAGTCAACCACGTGAGCGCCTCAGAGGGCCGCAGGACGGCCCAAGGCAGCCCTCAAAATGCCTTTGCTGCCTCCACGACGACCTCGGGGAAGCCCAAGAGGGCCCCCAAACGGCCCGAAACGCTCAAGCAGGGCCCGAGATGACTTCAAAACGGCCGAAGAAGTTTTCAAAACGCCTCACGAGGCTCCCACAAAGACGCCCAAGAGGCAAACATCATTCCAGTTCCATTGGAAGATGTGCGTTTTTAACAATATCTGTTTTCTTTGGCTCTCACGCGCTCATGACGGCCCACGAGGCCCCCAGGATCGCCCAAGACAGCACAAGAGGCCCCCATAACGGTCCCAAGACGGCCCCAAGACGGCCCAAGGTTCCGAGACGGCCCAGAGGAGCTCCAAGACAAGACGTCCCAAGAAAGGCCCCTTTCGGGCCCCAGAACGTTCCCAAGAGAGCCCCAAGAGGGCCACAGGAGGTCCCCAAGAGGGCCCCAGAGGGCCCCGAGAGGGCCCCAATATGGTCCAATGTCTCCAACAAGACTGCCCAAAGGGGCCCCCCAATACGGTCGAATAAGGTCCCCGGGCGGCCCGAGAATGCCTCCTGACGGTGCTTGGAAAGTAAATGCGTTTCCGTCCTTGTGCTAAGCTGGTCTGGTGGCGGAGCCTCTTAGGGGCCCTGTGGGGACTTTTGGGGGCCTCTTGGGGGCTCTTGGCGGCCTCTTGGGGACTTTGGGTCCCCCGTCGGGGCCCCGACTTGGACCCTCTTGAAGGCCTCTGGGGCCGTCTTGGGGCGATCTTTGGGGCTTCTTTGCTTGGGAGCATCTTGGGCCGTCTTGAATCTTGAGGCCATCTTGGAGGTCTTTGAACGATCTTTCGGCGACTCGGGGCCCTCGTGGACCGTGTTGGGGGCCTATTGGAGCCCTCTTTGCCCGTCTTGGGGCCCCCTTTGGCCCGAAATATTTCAGCGGAAAGACGCCCCGGGCCCCAGGAGGCAGGCACTCGGCGCGGGGCCCAGGTTTTTTGGCAATTTTGGGTCTGGGCCCCTTAAATGGTCATCCGGATTGAGGACTTGGGCTCCAGGGGATCCAACAAGGGACCTGAGGACACTCCAACTCGTGCCTCAAGGGCACAGTGGCGGACACCAATTCCTACCTAAACTGGTGAGTCGTTTACTCTCGATGAACCAGTGGCCGCGGCTCCAGAAACAGGGAGCTGCAATTCTGGTTGTCTCGTGTGGTGCAGCAGTGTACTGCAGTCACCCGCTACCCCAAGGGCGAGCCAGTCAGTCAGTCAGCCTTCTATTGGACGGACGGTCGGAAAGCACGTAAACATAAACTTTGGAGTTCGCGGACGGTTTCTCCACCAGCGCCGCACCCCCCTCCCCTCACCTCCTTGGCGCGCGAAGCGCGCCAAGGGCGGCGCCGCCCAAGGGATGCCGGGAGGGGCCCTGGGCCTGTCGGAGAAGCCACCTCGTGTCGTCCGTTTAATGTCTTCACAGATGTACATATCTGTATAATAAACATGTTTTATCGGTCGATGTATTCGTATGGCCTCCGATGTAGTGTTTGTCCAGGGTCCGCCCAGTAAGGTGCTCGTCTCCCCGGACTCCCTGTCCCCTCTCCCAGGTCGGGGGCGGCAAAGAGGGGGGCGATGACTAGGGGGGGGTGGATATCATGGCGTGGGCCATGATATTTCCCCAGATTTCATGGCGCCTCTTCTTATTTCATTATGTTCCTGGCCCCCCCGCTGGGCCGCGCACATGCCGCCGGTCATGATTTGCACCCCCCCTCTTGGACACCCCCCTCTTGGCCGCTCCCGACCAGGGGCGGGGGGGTTCTTTTGTTCCCTGGTCTTTTGTTGAAGGTCCCTGGGCCCGAGAGCGGACCTTGGAGGCCGAAAATGGCGCAGGCACCCCCGTCTTGGTACTGCCCAAGGTCGGTGTTCGGGGTGGGGGGACAGAGATCGTCCCTGGGGCCTCTCCATGGGGTGCGTTGTGCGTTCAGGCCAGCATGCCGAGGGGAATCCGAGCGTGGCGACGACGACGCCCCAGGAAGCCCAGGAAGGCTGAAGGGCATCCAGATTCCCCGAACCTCGACCCTCGCCACTCGAACGTCCGAGGACCACCCACCAGGGACGAGCATCATACCCATGTGACTGCCCTCGAGGTCCGGGCACCGAGGCGCGATCCGATGGAGACACGATCCCATGGGCACGTTTCGCGCGGGGCACCCGCGCAGGCGGGGTCGCGACCGAGGGGTCCAGACCGCCGGGCGGTGGATACGGTTGCCCAGGCCCACGACGCCGTGCTTCCTCATCACGTGGACCCCGAGAGGTCCACTCAATGGACGGGACGGGGTGGGCATTGGCTGGCATCATAGCCGACCCACAATCAATGGAGGCATCAAAGCCTCTGACCATCATACTGTCTAGGCTGATCCACTCACGGATCCAACACCTCATCTTCTACTCAATTCATTCCATGCGTAGCATGCTCTCCCTTGCCTCGGTCCTGGGGGCCCAGAACAGGGCCCCCAGGGGTCGAGCGCTGCTGAGAAGAGCCTCGCGCAGTGTCTTTTTCCGACGCGGAGGGGTATGGATGGGTTCCACGCCCCCGAAGGACGACCTGCTCGCGGGCATCGGCCTCGACAGGCTCGAGTCCTGGCTCCAGGATCTGCCGATACCCGCCCTCGTCGGGCTCGCCGCTGGCGCCGTGGCCGCCCCGGGCTCAGCCGGGCTGCGGTGCCCCCGGGCCGGCCCACGTGTGCATCGGGGGCCCCCACGCGGCCCAGTGGCCGCACCGTGTGGTGAGTCCCTGGGGCATTCGGGGCGACCGCACGGTCTTGGGGCTCGGGCCGCTCTCCGAGGTCGCCTCGGGCGACTGGGGCCTCTGGGGTCCCAACGCCGGGCGGTGGCAGACCTTGCGGTGAGGTCTTGGGGGGGTGCCGAGCGTTCACTGCGCCGTCTGTCACCGCGCTGCTTTTCTATGGGCCTCCCAGCTGGCGTCCGAGCGGATGGGTTCGGAGGATACCGCGCCGCCTCGCCGATGCGTCGGCGATGCGGCCCGATGTGGAGCCCGATTTTCTCCACGCCGGCGGCACCGACGCATCGCCGACGCATCGCCGAGGCATCTCGCCAGTGCTTCGCCAAAGCCTCGGCGGACTCGGCGGTGCGGCCGACCCACCTCCAGAGGCGTGCGGCGGCTGAGGGCGAAGGCCCGGCGGAAGCCAGACGGTGGCGGGAAGCGCTGGCGGAGATCGGCGGAAGCATAATATTGGTGGTCCACGAGGTCTCAACATTTCTTGTCCAAGGTTTTTTGTAGCGAGCCAGGTCGACTTTCAGAGGAGGGGGCGAGAAACTGGAGGATCCATGTCTTTATGGTTTTCGGCGTCGGGGGGCTCGCTTAGGGGCCCGGGGCCGTCGGAAATCGATCCGGGACGAAAGTTTGGCAGGGACGGGCATTGGGGAGGGGTCCAGGGGCGGATTCTGAGGTGTGGGCGAACAGTTGTCAGTCGCAGCGGCGGCGAACGCGTCCGCAGCCTACGCGGGGGCGCTGCTGGGCGAATCGTACACGCGGTGGCGGGAGGCAGAAGAGGGCGGCCGCGGAGGAGGATGAGGAGGGGAGAGAGAGAGAGAGAGAGAGAGAGAGAGAGAGGGATAGAGAGAGAGAGAGAGAGTCACTGGGGCGCAAGGACAGAGAGGGGAGAAATACGCGAGAAGGAAATGGGTACGAAACGGCCAGGCCAGGGGCTCGGGCCACCGCCGCCCAGGCGGGCAGGAACGCTGGGCAACAGTACCGATACCGATGCCCTAAGCCTTCACCTTTTCTGGCCGTTCTGGGAGGCTCTCGTCCCCTCAAGGCTGGGATCGCTTCGGAGTCCTGGTTACCGCCGTCAGGTCCAATGCTCGAGCAAGCTCCCATCATCCGCCTGCAGCTTGTTGGCAAAACTCAACTGGCGCAGTGACGCGAGGGCTCCTCTCGTGCGGATCCATGACTCGGTCAGGCGAGTGATGATGATGATGATGATGATGATGATGATGATGATGATGATGATGATGATGATGATGATTCTGATGCTGATGCTGATGATGATGCTGATGATGATGATGATGATTCTGATGCTGATGCTGATGCTGATGCTGATGATGTTGATGATGTTTGTGGCGTTTATGACGAAGGTGACGACAACGACAACGGCGATGACGATAATGATGACGATCATGATGCAAATGCTGATGCTGATGCTGATGCTGAGGATGATGATGGTGATGATGCTGATGATGATGATGATGATGGTGATGGTGCTGATGATGCTGATTATGCTGATGATGCTGATGATGCTGATGATGATGATGATGACGATGATGATCATCACGGTGATGATGATTACCGTGGTGATGATGTTTGGTGGTGGTGGTGATGACGATGGTGGCAACGACAACGATGATGACGACGGGCGCTGCTGATGAGAAGACGATCATGGATAATAATGAGGGTTATGCTGGTGATGATGAATGTGGTGGTAGCGGTGATGATTATGATCATGATGACCATGCCGGCGGTGGGGAGAATGAAGACGACGACCACGATGCTGATGATGCTGATGCTGATGCTGATGCTGATGCTGATGCTGATGCTGATGCTGATGATGGTGATGATGCTGCTCTGACGATGATGACGATGATGATGACAGGGATGATGATGCTGATGATGATCTGCTGCTGCTGCTGATGATGCTGCTGCTGATGATGATGACGTTAATGACCACGATGGCGATGATGCAAACATGGAAACTGAAGAGGACGATGTGGAAGTGCGTACGCCAGAGTTTTGGTTGACACCATGTAGGTTTGTTTTGCAGTGCCCAAGCAACCACTTGTTTTGGACGGATCTCGTGGTTCGTCATCGCAGGGGCGCGCGCGTGTGGTCCGCATGTGTTATTGCGAGATTCGTGCCGAATGACTTTGACGCGCGCCCGCGTGCGGCCCGCATGGTTTCCTGTTGACCAGCAGGCAGCATGGCTATGCTAATGATGAGATTTCCGCGAGTGCGCGCGCGCCGCAATATGTCAACTTGTTTTGGATACACACTTTGTTAGCACTACATTGAACACCGATGTTTTCGGGCCGCTGTTGGCATGTGTACGCATGCGGTCTGCACAGTGTTCGAGGATATTGCTGGTTCTTGCAGAGCGCACGTGCTAGACCAACGCGTGTGCACCGCATGATATTACTTGACACGGGCGAGGTGGGGAACGATAACGAGTCGGCTGGCGTTGTGCCATATTGTCGTTGAAAGTATACGTGCATCCTGGGCAGGTGGTTTGATTCCCATTATTCGGTAATGGGACTTGCGCGCCACCGCACGAGGTGACGACGAGTTGGCCACGGACGACGACCAGCCGAAAGCCCGGCAGGCCCAGCCAGCGCAGCAGGCGGCCACGAGGCGGCCGCCGCGGGCGACGATTGGCCGAAACCCTGGCAGACTCAGCTAATTATTTAGTATGATGCAGTGCAAGGTACGTGCGGAACCCTACGCCAGCAGCAGCAATCGATTTCTCCATCTTGGCGTGTTTTTAATGCGACTGTCCCACATTCGTGCTGGTGAGCGGTATGCGGCATCGGCTTTCATGATAGTCAGGAGTCAATTAGGAATTGTCAGTAGACCGTGAAATCGTCGTAGGCAGCAGCTAGCCTGAGCGTCCAGGGAATCACACCCTTGTATTGACGAAGGATGACCCCGTCACGGGGGGCAGTGCAGCTCCAAGTCCAGTGTTCCCGACTAGCCCCATTGCTCCGAATGTTTTGCCGCGCTTGTCTGTTCGGTCCATGGCAAATGCGACAGCGACAGTCATCACACTACGGTCATCCCTGGTGGTAAGGATGATCGACTTTTCGAGGGTACCCTTGCATCCTTGCCTCTTTGGTCATCTTCGGACCATCCTCAGCCACTTTCAACGGCCAGCCCCGCTCGGAGAGCCTCGGCATGGGCGTTGAAGGCCACGGTGTACAGTCAACCCCAGGTGCATTGAGGCTGCGCGGCGCTCGCGGGCGGCACTGCGCCCAGATTTTAACGCTTTCTGTTCACGACGTGGGGCCTCGAGGCTCGGCCCCGCCCCCCCCAGGACTACTCCGGGCTCGACCTACGCGGTGTTCTGGCGATTTCGAGAACCGTTTTCGTTTTGACCTCGTTTTGCAGCACCTTCGAAGCGAAGACAAAACGAGGGAGAACGAATACAGGACGAAAACGAGGAGCACTGCTGTGGTCGAGCCCTGGGATTATTGAATATGGTTTCGCCGCGAGCAGTCTCTGGATGCCTCTCCTCCAGATCTCACGCGCGCCTCTCTGGGCACGTCGCGCGCACGCCAGCCTCCAGAGAGACAGTGAGAGGAACAGACGAAAAAAGCTTGATGCCCCCCCCCCCGGGCCCGAAGCAGGCCTCCAGAGGTCCGAGGAGTCTTCCTTTCTGGTGTCTTCGCGATCGTTGGCCTCCTCCTCCTCCTCCTCCTCCACCCCTCGGCTCGCGCTGGAGCGGCCACGAGTTGCTCCACAGGTCCCTGGACATCTCTGGATCTGCCCCGATCGGTCTGGATTTGCCTCGATGTGTACCCTGACTTACACCTCGATCTGCCTGGCTTTTGATCCCCGAGAGGGGATTGGCGAAGCGTTGTCAAGCCCTATAGGAACCGGACGCCCGAAGTTGTGGTCTGGGAGTGTGATCGGACACGCTGCCCGCTCTAAAACTTGGCCTCGGGGTGCGACAGGGAGAAGTTCATTCATAAGGAAAAAGGAGTGGAGGAGGAGGAGGAGGAGGAGGAGGGGAGGAGGAGGAGGAGGAGGAGGAGGAGGGAGGAGGAGGAGGAGAGGAAGAGGAGGAGGAGGAGGAGGAGGAGGAGAGGAGGAGGAGGAGGAGGAGGAGGAGGAGGAGGAGGAGGAGGAGGAGGATGAGGAGGAGGAGGAAAAAGACCTCCGCGCGGAGCATCAGCCGCCCCCCGCGTGGGTCAGAGGGCCCGGGGTGGCCTGTCGCGACGGCGCTCTGCCGAGGTCCTCGGCGGCGCGGCGCTGGCGACCGCGAGGGTCTGCCGTGGCCGCGGTGCACGGAGGGGCCGTGGCTTGCTGAGCGGCAGGTCCGACAAAGGCGCCGCTTTCTTTTTCTTCCCTCTTGCCCCTCGTCCGCCTCCTCCTCCTCCTGGGGCAGCGGCTCCTGTGCTTGGTGCGGATTCACGAGTTCCCAATTTCTTCCTCCTCCTCCTCCTCCTCTTCCTCCTACTGTTCCTCGTACTTGCACCCCCCTAATCAGAGTTTCCCAGGGCTCCCCAGTAGAACCCCTCTCCTCATCCCTCCCTCTTCCCCGCTCCCTCCTCCCTCCTCCTTCTCTCCTCTTCCCTCCTCCCGCCTCCTTCCCTTCGCCTGTCCCCGCGCCTGACGACGAGATCGGCCTGTGCGACTCGAGTGTCGCCCCTCCTCCCTCCACCTTCCCCGTCCTTCATCCGACCGCCCTCCCCTTTTCCTCCTCTCTCGTCCCTCGGCCCGTCCTCCTTCTCCTGGTCCTCACTCCTCCATCCGTCTTGGACGAGGCAGTGGCATCTGCTTCCTTTTGGAGCTCCAAGGGGTGGTCTGTCCGCGGCGGACGCGGGCAGTCAGGAGGGGAGACAGAGGGAGGGACTGAGGCTTCAGGTGTCCGCGCTCACGACAGATGCCGCTGGGGCCGTCACGAGCTACCAGCGTCGTGACATGTCGCGCCACTGAGCTTGCACGCGCACTATCCCAGACAATGGACATCCTGTTTGCTCTCTCGTGACGTGGCCCCCTCAGACCTCTCGACCCCGCCCCCGGGGACGGACTGAGCGCCCCGCAGCACTCTTCGCGATGGCCCCCGGGGCCCCCGACACCGGGCCGAGCTCTGGAGGGCGGGCCTCCCTCGCCTCCCCCTCGGTGTGCGCCGGCGGAGGGCTCCGCGGAGGGCCGGCGCCCCCGGCGCAGAGCTCGGCGCCGCGTGACGGCGCAGGGCGGGAGGGCGCGGGCCGTCAGCCCCGCGGGGAAGACGGCCGCGGCGGGCTCGTGGGTGCGGAGGCCCCGCGGCGGGCGGCGGCCCCTGCCTTGTCGTTCGGCCCCTCTGCGTGTCGGCCTATATAGGTGCCCTGGCCGCCCGCAGGTGGTCCAGGCGGGGGGGGGGCCCGCTGGGGCAGCACTGCCCTGCCACTGTAGCGCTGCCTCTCTGAGGGCAGGGCGCGCGTAGCACGCGCGCGTGCTTCAGGTATCCCCCCCTTCCTACCCCACCCCCCGCCGCTCAGTGGATCTGTCGCGTGACACGGCGAGCATGGGTGAGGGCGTTCCCACAGGGCCGCGGGGCCCGAAAGTCCGATCGGTTCAGAGCACGAGCCGATCGGCGCAAGCTCGGAGCTGGCCTGGTCAGGTCTTGCACGCCATCGGCCTCCATGTTCTCCCTCTTCACCTGCCCAGTCTAGCCCCTCTGCGCCCAACCTCTTAAAGCTGGATTTAAATATCGCATATAGGCGTGCCTGTCGTCTGGGACGAGGACCTGGAGGACTCTTTCGTGGCCTGACAGCTTTTTTTTCGTCGAGCACCGAGCCTGCTTCGAAAGCAGTATCTCTGTACGTGTTCGCTGTAGTTCGACCACTGCCAT